AAAAAAAAAAAAAAAAAAAAAAAAAGGTCGTCTTACGACATCTGTACAGAAAGAAGCATGCTCATGAATACTGTCTATATGGTACTCGCTATCCGAATCAGGTGGTAATGGGAGAGAGTGCGGCAGGGGAGTTGGTGAGGTCGAGGAGGATGACAGGGAAGGTCGCCGTATTGAATTAGAGTGGAATTGTGGCCATGATTGAAGAAGGGCACTCCATGCTGCTTCAGAAGACAGGGTTGTCATTTAAAGCGCGAGCGTTATTGTGCTAGCCTTAGCTACCGTATTCACTTGAATACAACGCCCGGTCATTGTAGCCGTATTTGAGGCAACTTTCAGACTAGATACAGCAATAATGACCAGGCGTTCTTTTCGGGTGAAGACGGTAGGCCAGTACTAAGGAGAGGTTGGCTGGTAGAGTGACGGTGCGTCGGTTTGGCAGTGAAGTAGTGGGGAGAAGCAAGCCCGTAGATAGTAGATACATCGAGGTGGCGAGAGAGGAGTCTGGAAGAAGGAGAGGGAGAAGCAACTTGAACATTTGTGCTCATTGTTTACATTCTAAAAGATTCACATACTCTTGATCTTCATCTTCACAGTCTTGTCATTCATTGCTATCTCACCCTTGTATTGATCCTAAACTTCATGCGTCACACGGATATTGCCAGTCCACACCAAGCTGCACACTCTCTTAGACTCTTACAAACAGACGGAACAACTCCTCTCTCTCTCTCTCTCTCTCTCTCTCTCTCTCTCTCTCTCTCTCTCTCTCTCTCTCTCTCTCTCTCTCTCTCTGCCGAGGAGCTGCACAGGCTGTCCTTGTAAACTTTGTACCTTCCGTTTCAATTTCGCATTTGATATGTCAGATTTGTTTTGTTCCTCAAAAGTTCTTAACATGGGTTGTATGCTGTTTGGTTCATTTCATGCTGTTCTTCATTGCAGGATATTTAGATCCGGAGTACTTCTACTCACAGAGGTTGACCATCAAAAGTGATGTCTACAGTTTTGGTGTCCTCGTACTGGAGCTGTTGACAGGCTTGAATCCATGCAAGAAAGGTGTAAACTTGCCTGAAATGGTATGTAAGAAGAACCTTGCTCCCTTCCCCTTGATGGAAACGAGGTCACCATACCAATACTTTAACTGAACATGGTAGAGATGAGAGCATTTGTTTTTCAAGTTGTCATCTGACTGGACCTGCGGTTCGGTTCATTTCATCTCTCTCTCTCTCTCTCTCTCTCTCTCCCTCTCTCTCTCTCTCTCTCTCTCTCTCTCTCTCTCTCTCTCTTTCTTTGACAACACGTGCATGCACACAAAGTTGCCCGTGAAATCTTTCTTTGTTGCGCTATCCAAAACGGTACTTATTACTGCAAGGGTTGGGTATTCTTCTCCCATCCGATTCATTCCTGCCCAGCCTGCTGTCATGGGCATTTACGACCTAGTTAATGTGTGACCTTCGGTAACCTTTCTGCAGCCCATTGCATGGCTGAGTCTTGTTCGCTTTGCACGTCCGTTGTCTTTTTCTTTTTCTTTTTCTTTTTTAATTTCGCAGTAGGGAGTCACTTGAGGGGGTGATAAGAGCAGCCTCCTCAAGTGGTCCCTCAGTTGAAGGCTCCGTCCCCATTGGTGGGGAGCTGCACCTGCTGGAAACTGGGTCCAGCTTCTCAGATATTACAATACAAACCTGAGGTTGTTGTCCTGTAGGCTGGCCTTCGTGCTGCTGAAGGTCCAGTGTTTCCTATGTTCCTTCTGTCCCTCTCTGTTTCTACCTCTTCCTTCCGGCGCTTGCTGGAAAACCAGATCCATCGTCCCAAAAATTACAGTACCCGGCTGAGGTAATTTCCCTGCAGGCTGTCCTTCGTACTGCTGAAGGACCAGTGTTTCCTGTGTTCCCCTCTGTCCCTCTCTATTTCTACCTCGTCCTTGTGCGTACTGGAAACCGGATCCAGCGTCCGAGAAATGACACTACAAAGCTGAGGTTGTTGACCTGTAGGCTGGCCTACTGCTGAAGGACCAGTGTTTCCTGTGTACAGAGATTGTTACAAATTGTCCATCTCGATGTACTACTCTTCTTAGCCGGTACCACCAAGACATTTGAGGTCGTGCCCTTGACATGCGCGTTGTGATATCTCATCAAATTTGTGTGTGATAATGTGATTGGGATTCTTTGCCTTGAAACAGGGCCAGGGTCACATCCTGAGAGCTTAACATGGCCGATGCGAATGAAAATTATACTTGATGTGTCAGAGGGGATGAAATACCTTCACTGTGATGCCCAACCCCCAGGTGAGATTGTTGCCTATCTGTTCCTGCTTTCCTTTTCCTTTTTGCTTTCCTTATGTAGTGAAAAAGGCAAAAACGAAGATGAAAAGTCCAGAAAGCCATGCGGCTTGCTTGTGTTTCTTAAAACAGCCATCGTATGGAGTGAAGTACCAAGCCCCACCAGTGCTATGCCCATGCTTGGAAAGCACAGACCTGGCCGTAACAGTGGCCAGGTTCGTGCTTTCCTAGTGTGAGCACAGCGTACAGTTTTCCAGGCTCCCTCAGCCTGTCAAACCAGGACACACAGGGATGACAAACACACTCGCCCCCTAACTGTGCAAAAGGTAGTTCTATCTGGGCGAACCAAGCAATGCGGCAAAAGTCAACGTGGCCAGCTGAGGCCAAAGAAAAAGGCCAAGCTACCCCCAGGTCCCTGACAACAGGAAACAGCCTGACCCAGAAGAATTTGCAGGGCCAACCCAACAAAGAGATGCCCCCCTTCAATCCCATGTCCCACCCTCCCCCATCACCCCACCCTACCACGTCACACTAGCACACGTCCAGATGCAAACACATGCTCACATGCAGACAGGGTACCACCTTCACTCAAGTCCGCACGCATGCTCACACACAAAAGAACGCACTCACACACATGCACACACGCAGACATCGCCAATCACTCAACGAGTTTCAGAGATATGCATAGCAAACATGACCAAAAAGAACACAGAGAGAGAGAGAGAGAGAGAGAGAGAGAGAGAGAGAGAGAGAGAGAGAGAGAGAGACAGAGACAGACAGACAGACAGACAGACAGACACAGAGAGAGAGGGTGAACAGTAAACACATCTGCTTTTGTTAATTTCGCTTTCCCATTCCTGTACTTTGATGGACAAGCTTCCAATAAATCCAGTTCTTTGTCTGTACCTTTCGAACTTTGCAATGCTCCCCCAACGGATACTAACGAACTCTGTCAATCGTTCTGATAGTGTGCAAACTGCCACTGCTCTTACCTGCTTCCATGCATCCTTGAAACCCCTCCATCCTCACTATAGTGATCATGAACCCTCTTCCCTGCTCCTTTTTTACGCTAGCAGAGCCACACTGGTCCACGTTGTAACGAGTAGGCATGTTTTCGTTTTCTTTCTTTCACCTTTCGGTCAACCTTTGCCAATCATGTGTTCACTGTTTTGTCCTTAAAATTTTTAGTCAATGATGATGTTGTCATTGTTTTGAATATGCAATCTACGCTACGCTCGTATGCCATGCACACAGAATTTATGCGGCGAGAGCAGGCGAGTTGTAATGCCTCTCCTTGTGTCGAAAAACTTTTGAAGCACTTGATGTTTTTATTGTGTCGACCTTTTTGCCAAAGACTGTCATGCAGTCGTTCAGAGGGATATCAAATCTGCCTTTCATGGCATGAATGGGTGCTTAGGACGGATATCCCATTGCAACTTTTTTTCAGTTTTTTTATTGGATGTGCTCATCAATGCATTCATGTGGATTTTGGAAGTAGTAGTGTGAAAAAAAAAAAAAAGGAAGCAGTAGTGTGTGCGAGGCTACGCCTGCTTAGCCCCTACGGGGCCCTATCTGCAACAAGGTCGGCCGCCCTAAGTGAAGGCAGGCACGACAGGCCCTTCGGGCCTCATTCTTCAGGGTACCCCGCAWCGGGGARATTYAGACAGTTGYGTTGCGCCAGTTGGTTGAATGAATCYAGGCCCTGGGCCGCCTGTGTAAATGAATGTGAAGCAGGCCCTGGGCTGGATACGGGTACCGGGCCAAACACAGGCCGAAAGCAGTTGGGCGCATGCAACCACTTCAGGCCCAAGGCCTGCTCTCTTCGTGACTGGGCCTGTGCCTACCGGGGCCTACCGGGAGCTTCCTGGACTGGACGCAGGCAGGCCACTTCGATATAGGGAAGGGCCTGCCTACTCATTCGGTATTCGGATGCTGGCTGCATGCTGCGTGAGCGCTGCTGCGCAATGCGCTGGCTGGCTGGCACTCACGCTCTCACGGGCGAGTAGGAGAGAGCACGCAGCCATAGCCAAGCTGCGCTGCTGTATGCTAGATGAAGTGCAGGGTGGTCCTTGGGTTGCTAGTGGCATCTGTGCGGTGTGGATCGGGGTTGTGAGTGTTACGAGAGACATACYTGGTGCTGAAGCGTGCGACATTGGTCGCCATATGCTCGTACTTCGGGAACGCTGTTGATGTCATCATTCTGCTTCGTAGTATAGGTTAGATAGGATCTGCCACCTGTAGTCTGGGCGCCGAGCGCCAATAGGATATCAACTCTGGTTCGTAGTTGATGATGATGGGACTTCTTCAGCATTGTCAATTTTGAACTCTTGGTGTGTTCTTATTTGGTGTATCTCGTGATGCCAGTCTGCTGTGGTTCGAGGTCAAGACTATCTGGGCTCATATGTATGATGCTGTTTGATTGCTGAAGTTCGCTAATGCTCATCTTCCTTGCATGTGAGTCCATCAACTGAGGAAGCAAAAGGGAAAAGAAAAAGAAGCTCTCGAGTTGTAAATCAATTCTCACAAGCGAAATGTGCGTGCCATTTAGGTACTGGCTTTGTGAACTATGAAGTATAACCCGTATGCGTTTATTTCGTTGTTTTGGCATTTTCGGTCAATCGTGTTTTCATTGTTTTGAGTCTTTTGATCTTTTTGCTCTATGTATGTCATGCAGTGATTCATAGGGATATCAAATCCGCAAACATACTGCTGGATGAGCACTTCAATGCTTTCATTGCGGATTTTGGAATCAGTAGGTCGGGTCCAGTAACTGAAGATTGCGATGTTAAGACGATGGGGATCACGTCCATGGTCAAGGGCACACCTGGTACGTATTCACCATTTTCTCCGAGTTGTTTTGCTTTGTTCCTCCCATCAGAGTGATCACCTCCCTGTTCCGTCTTTTGAGCTGAAGGCACAGGCAAAAGGTATGTGTGTGTGTGTGTGTGTGTGTGTGTGTGTGTGTGTGTGTGTGTGTGAGTGTGTGTGTGTGTGTGTGTGTGAGAGAGAGAGAGAGAGAGAGAGAGAGAGAGAGTTGTGCAGTAACTTAAATTGTAGTTTGATGGCATCAGAAGTTGCTATTGGAGCATGTGCAGCTCGTTTGTGCCTTTCAGAATCGGTTTCTCTGAATCGAATCCATCGATAAATCAAGAGAACGGCAGTTCAACTACTCTATAATAGTCATTGTCTAGCTAATGATAGCTTGTTTATGAATGTCATCACACATTTTGTTAACGCCGTTGACAACCTTGAACTTATTTTTAGAAATAAGAAACGTCGAAATCCGCAGAATCACCCAATTGGTCCCATTCAGCATACCGATGAGTCGCCGAGAAACCTAAGCTCTTTGGTCAATTCTTGAAGGCGCCTTGTGGAGACGTTGTGATCTATAGAATCAAAACAGTTAGTTATGTCGCCTTCAATGGCCCACGTTTGGTGTTTTTTTATTCCGACATGGAGACTCGCAAGAGTCAGAGCTGCGGTGGAGCCTCTACCAGGCTGAAAAGCATGACTGCAATCAATAAACTTCGATGTTTGACAAAAGACCCATTCAAAACGGAGACAGGGACGGATAGAAGGACGGACGGACAATGGATGGACAGACGGACGGACGATGAACAGATGGACAGACGGATGGGCGAACGGACGATGGACGGACGGACAGACAGGTGGGCAGGTGGGGCAGGCGGGTGGGCAATCAGGTGGGCGGACGGACGGAAGGACAGACTGGCAGGCGAACGGACAAACAGGCGGGCATAGGGAGGGACATGGAACGGATGGGCGAATGGACGGACAGGGAATTGAGCAGTATTTTAATTTGTGGAGTCTATGTTGGTCCGTGGGCGTCCTGCACTGGCCCTGTCTGCCCCGGTACTACCTGGGCGAGCCCAGCTGCACTAGGTCTAGACCATGTCACGGGCAGTCCCAGCACAAAACCTTTTTTAAGAAACTGAAAAAGATCAAAACATCTGAAATGCAATGAGATCAGACTGCAAATCAACATCTCATGCCACACCGAGAAACACGCTTCTGCACATGAGAGTTGGAAACGGAAACATGAGCTACGAGAACCCGGTATTTCTCATAAATAAGTCGTATACAACAAGCTTGTATACACCAAGCTGGGCGGCTACGTTTACAAGCCAACAACAACCGATGATGAACTTTCACTCTTAAACCTCACTCCGTCTCTCTGAATGCCTGTCTTGCTGTGTGCTTGGCGAGGCGTTTGATTGTTTTTAAATGTTCTTTTTTTCGGTAAATCATACGCCTTCTGTCTTCCTTGCCTATGGTACACTACTGCTATGCTGCCCAGTGCCTGCCGACAACATCTCTCAGCCTCACTTACTGTCTCACTCATCACTTGGGCACAACACTGCGCAATAGCTCTTCTGCAGGAAGCACGAATGGAAATGAATGTTGATGAAAACTGCTGCCGTGCTTTTGCACGAGATAATTCGGTTCTCCAGCCCCTGGACCTGTAGGCCCTGCACCTGGTCTGTCAGCCTTTGTGTCAAGAACAGCTGCTGTGCTGTTGTATGTGACGATTCAGTTCCCCAGCCCTTGGGTCTGTCAGCCTTTGGCGTTTCCAGAATTTTGTCGGCTTTCCTGGGACCCTGGGGCGCTCACTTACCTGAGACTGAACTGGACGTGACGACTCTAACCTGCTGGGTGCCTACCTGCCATAATAGCCTAGGCGCCGACCCTAAACTACCAGATCTCTCCTCTACGACCGGACCTGACTAAGTACCAGACCCTTTTTTGGGAGATACTAGATAGAGTGAAAGTGGAACTTAGTCCTTATGATGACAATTTCTCAATGTTCTGAAGTGTTTTTGTCCATTGAAATTGTCTGTTGTCAGTGTTGTGGCCAACTCGTCACCCTCTTACCTTGTCATTATTATTGTTGCGCGCTTTCTTCTTTTGCCATCATGAACATTCTCAAAATTCTCTGAAACGAAAATTTCATTCAAGGGAACTTTTGACTTACCGTTTCACCTGTTTTTTTTTTTAGTTTTTTTTTTGTTGTGGTTTCACTGGTTTGGTAATATGTTGTGCACTCTATGGAATGATGCAATTTTTTGGTTCAAAAGGCCTTCAGGTTTTCTTATAAATAGCATTCAAAAACCGCTGAAATTTTGGGTCTCTGCTAACCACCTCATTGTCTACAATACTGATTCCCTTCAGCTTTCTCTCATATCGCAGCGCTATCTTCGGGGCACAGTTTCTGTCAGCTCTATTTTAGAGAACCAACTGCCGCGCTCTGGTTCCTGAAACGAAAATCGTCCCTTGTAAGGCCTCTAATGGCCCCGGTATCTGAAATGTCCTCAAAAGACCTCAAATTTTCTCAATGATCTGTATAATTCGATATGGGACGCTGGGCCCGGTTCCCAGCACGTTCTGCTCCCCACGAATAGACTGGAGCATTTGTTCATAAAAAAAAAAAAAAAAAAAAAAAAAGGTCGTCTTACGACATCTGTACAGAAAGAAGCATGCTCATGAATACTGTCTATATGGTACTCGCTATCCGAATCAGGTGGTAATGGGAGAGAGTGCGGCAGGGGAGTTGGTGAGGTCGAGGAGGATGACAGGGAAGGTCGCCGTATTGAATTAGAGTGGAATTGTGGCCATGATTGAAGAAGGGCACTCCATGCTGCTTCAGAAGACAGGGTTGTCATTTAAAGCGCGAGCGTTATTGTGCTAGCCTTAGCTACCGTATTCACTTGAATACAACGCCCGGTCATTGTAGCCGTATTTGAGGCAACTTTCAGACTAGATACAGCAATAATGACCAGGCGTTCTTTTCGGGTGAAGACGGTAGGCCAGTACTAAGGAGAGGTTGGCTGGTAGAGTGACGGTGCGTCGGTTTGGCAGTGAAGTAGTGGGGAGAAGCAAGCCCGTAGATAGTAGATACATCGAGGTGGCGAGAGAGGAGTCTGGAAGAAGGAGAGGGAGAAGCAACTTGAACATTTGTGCTCATTGTTTACATTCTAAAAGATTCACATACTCTTGATCTTCATCTTCACAGTCTTGTCATTCATTGCTATCTCACCCTTGTATTGATCCTAAACTTCATGCGTCACACGGATATTGCCAGTCCACACCAAGCTGCACACTCTCTTAGACTCTTACAAACAGACGGAACAACTCCTCTCTCTCTCTCTCTCTCTCTCTCTCTCTCTCTCTCTCTCTCTCTCTCTCTCTCTCTCTCTCTCTCTCTCTCTGCCGAGGAGCTGCACAGGCTGTCCTTGTAAACTTTGTACCTTCCGTTTCAATTTCGCATTTGATATGTCAGATTTGTTTTGTTCCTCAAAAGTTCTTAACATGGGTTGTATGCTGTTTGGTTCATTTCATGCTGTTCTTCATTGCAGGATATTTAGATCCGGAGTACTTCTACTCACAGAGGTTGACCATCAAAAGTGATGTCTACAGTTTTGGTGTCCTCGTACTGGAGCTGTTGACAGGCTTGAATCCATGCAAGAAAGGTGTAAACTTGCCTGAAATGGTATGTAAGAAGAACCTTGCTCCCTTCCCCTTGATGGAAACGAGGTCACCATACCAATACTTTAACTGAACATGGTAGAGATGAGAGCATTTGTTTTTCAAGTTGTCATCTGACTGGACCTGCGGTTCGGTTCATTTCATCTCTCTCTCTCTCTCTCTCTCTCTCTC